ATCCTCTCGAACTATAATAAAGAAATAGTTCGTATATTCCAATGAGATGTTTTTGACACACGGTGCGGGTGCAGATGTGGATAAAACTATGTATGCACGTTCGTCGCGTAGTTGGGTGTTGATTTTTATCTTCTTTTTACTCACAACCATAGCCTTATCGTAACTAATTGAGTGTGGAGGAGACTGTGACTGGCTATAGGTGTTAGAGTTCTCTTCAACAACACCCATACCCTAATTGATGAAAACAGTTTTTCGTATATGAAAAAGTCAAACGTTTATATCCTATTCATTTCTTTTCTTCATTTATTAATTACTCGTCCTTCTGCTGCTTTTCATGACCATATGATACTGTAATTGATTGATGAAACAGAATGAAAAAAAAAAAATAACAAAAATAAATGTGTTTTGTTCAATAAAGCATTTTCATCATTTTATATATAAATTATAATACCGATACAAAACATATACGTACAGAAATGACTGATACAGGCATTCATTTTCAGTGAACTTCCAATCTATTCTTTTCCCTATCATGTCATCCACTAACTGTAGTAATTAAAAATACTGCTACAATAATTTTGTAAGAAAAATAAAAATGATATATGATTAAAGGAATTTTGTATTTACTTCTACCAGTGTCCGACATGGTTCAATTTTTCGTGACCCAACTTGAGATCAATGATAGTTTTGGGCCAATCAAAGCGAGTTTTTTTTCACATGCTACCTGCAATCTTTTCAGTGTATCCATACAAACTCTCTCAATATTTGTAATAAAGAAATCATTATGTAATCTGAAATTGCTATTTGTCTTATGAAAAGTTCGAAATCAATCAACTATTTGTGACCCGACTTGATTACTATTCCACATAAAATTATTACACAATGTCTACTCATTTTAGCAATATTTCAAGGACAGCGAAAAAAAAAGTCGTTTTGATGTTTATACAGTGTCGTCAAAGCTCCTTGTATGAATAGTTTCGACATTCCTTACTCACCATATCATAAATATGTAACACGTTTTTTTCACAAAATAATCCTTAAATACTTCGCTGCATTTTGTATTATCGAATACTCAACTTTTGATACAATGCTCTGACGTCTATATAAATGATTTTTTCTTTAACAAGTGATACACACAGAATGAGTTACACTAATTGAAACATCATATCTTTTATAAACATGAAAGTACAGATAAATCATAAAATTTTCACTCTTGTCATTAAAAATACGCAGTATCCTAGTTTTTGCAAAGATAATTAGAAAAAATCGATTGAATTGTTCTGATAATCTTGTTATTTTTGCGCACATGAATAAGACACTGCTATTTTTTTATGCGTTCCCATTAATCAAATTTTTGGAAACTATTGTCGAAAAAATTGATCATTTTATATCAAAACTGAATTTGTAAATTCGTCAACTATATAAGTAACCGAAAATTCAAAACAATTTCATTATAGTTACCTTCATGTTGTTTATATTCGCAAACGAGAACTAGTCGTTTTAGTTCTCTGGTCAGGTTTACGACTGAAATGTACGAATGAGATTTAAATACATGAGCTTTCATATTTAGTTTTCTGATATAATTTTTTCATGACTAGTAGTATTCATAAACATCGGTTGGAAAGAAATTTCACAAGATAGCTTTTTTCCAAAAACGTAAATTACAATAAAACTGAATGCGTATGAACATGCTCTCTATGGCTTAAATGATCAGCTGCAACTGATAAGATATTTCCTCCATCAATTTTGCTCATTTTTCTTTCGAAAGTCTTCTGTATTACCTTTGCAAGTTCCTTCTCTGATCATATAGTAATATATCGAACACTTTTCGCGAAAGTTTTCATCAAATTCGGTATTGATATTTATTCAATCTATATATTATCAGATGATGATATCACTAATAGTGGGAAAAATACTTCATGATATTTTCGAATGTTTTTACTTCAACATAAACCATTTAAAATCTTTTCTCTTTTCAAGACGGATGGATATTCAATACAAATCTGTCATTAAATCTGAAACATTCTAGATGAAAGTGTATTCATGTATAGTTAAAACAATTGTTAGCGACTCTACTGCAATCGATGAAGTCGTGTAAATATTATAAAAACCAAATGCCAAAGTTGGAACTGTATGGGAATGATTTATTAGATTTTACCACACAATCGCATAAAACAAATAACATTAAAAACAACTATACTTTCATTATCTGATACTTTTAAGAAAATTTTGTTATCATAGATTTATAAAAACATGTTTTCTTTTGGTATACAAGAAATGAATCGTCATGAAATAATGAGTTGACAAAACGAAACACATTATCGCAATATATCCATATTTTTGTGCTTACCTAAGTTTTTGTCTTAGACATATTATTGTTCTATCTGCGTCAATTGCATTGAAGGATGTGGGTGTGGGTGTGGATTCACTTCTTTCTTTCACCCATATCCACACGCTCATTCTAAATTGATGATTGTTGATAATTGTAAGACAATTTATGGAAGTGCGAATATCAACGATCGTTCTTTACTCGGCTCACGTGATAGTGAATTTTGTATAGTGATCATAACGACATAGAAGAGGAGGACTATCTCTTTAATGGTCAACCGGTTCGAGTCGGAAAATGTTTTTCAAGTTGGCGTAAGAGACTGTTTTCGTATGTTATTTCTTTTTGTTTTTTCGAAGAATCGAGTTCAAATGATTGATTTTTGTGGGAATAGAACGATGCTTGGTACTATGTGGGAGAACAACAATAAAGTCGACGCAAGCGATCCGGTTTCTGATCAGTTCTGTAACTATTTTCGAGAAGTGGTGCACGAAAATATGTTGATCTATGAAGAAATTTTTGAAACACTTCCCACTGATCGTGTTCGATATTTCGAGCAAGTAGACTACTATACTACATTACCTAAACTCAAAGATACTGATCCGCATCAACTATGTTCCGATATGTGTTTCACTCGATTCTTGGAATATTCTAAGCTTTCTTTTACGATTAGGCTCAGGAGAAATTGAAAAATATTCAAGGTTTAATAGCTAAATATCCAAAATATTTTTTCGATGAAGAAAATAATCTACCCGATTATCGAACATGTGATTGTATGTGATATTGATCTTTTCAAATGTACAGTAGATTGAATTTAACTTGTCTAGGCCGTGTTTTCAGTTTTGAATGGATCTAGATTTGGTGATGAGTTTTCTTTGTTTTTCGTTTTGATCATCTTTTATTGAATGTTCTAAATAATCTTTCTATATTTACTAACAATTACACGAATAAAATGTCATTCCATAACAGATTATGTACTTACGCATATATGTGTGTATTGACATCTAATTTGTTTTGCTTTGGGGTGTGGGCGTGGGTGGGTATCAGTGATTGTCTTTCCTTCACCTTCATCTACCCACCCTTATCCTCAGCGAAATACGATATCTCTTGAACAAACGGAAGCAATCGACGTAGTCTTCATAGAAATACATTTCGTGCAAAATTTTATCGAAAAACCTTCATTAGAGAGTAGAACTATGGAAATAATATATCTAATATTCGTAAAGAGCTTCAGCTCACCGTCATGAATAAAAGTATAGTATAAATCCAGTTCTATTTCATTTTAACTTCTTTTTATCCGTTCAAAGATAAGAAGGTAAGAAGGAGTGTGGATATGGGTGTCGGGTGTGGGTGTGACCGTGTGCTTGCATTTTCTCTTCACTCACATCCACATACTCACGTTCCTACCCACACCCCCACTCACACGCACGCTCAAATCCCTCTACAGACCCACACCCATCTACACCCACACTCACCCAACATGAATGATTTTGATTGAATAAATAAGGCTCTTTTCGCTTCTGGATTATCATCATTGTCAACTCTTATTCATGCATGTTTTACAATCAGTATATGCAGTGCTCTTGAAAGGATTACATTCTCGAAAAGAAAAAGAGCAGTGAAATAAGATTGTTGCACCAAACAGATATCAACATCGCATAAAGCTTTATGACACTACAGCGATAAGAAACGAGTCACTTGAAAAAAATCAGGTGCGCAGTGTTGATCGTATAAACATTTTTCTTAACAACAACACCATATCATAGGTTTCAAATACTCGACCGTGGTGAGTAACTTAACAGAGAGATTCGAATGTTACAATATTAGCTCTCAAGATGCTAGAGATAGTTAACATGGGTTTTAGTCATCCTACTATATTGTTCAATTTCAGTTCCAGAAAAGATTACGAGTTAAAACCAATATAATCCAACTTCGAATCAGGATTTGGGTGTGGTGGAGTTCATCGGTTACAACCAAATCTGGGTCTGGATCCGATGAACTTTAAGTTGTAGGTGTGGGTGTTCGAGTACAGATGTTCACTGAAAAAAGAGGAGATGTCATACGGAATCAAAAAGAGTGCTGCGCACAGTTCGAAACTTAAAAGAGTTTTCGAGGATGTTACTGCACGAGGTTGCTGTGCAATTAAGTGTTTGAGTATAATTATGGATGTGCGTAAATGAAGTGGTATTCCGTTGATGACACATAAAAGATCCGAACACTAACACCCTCAAGATAGTTGCATGCAATATAAACTTTTTACTGTTTACACGCGAGAATGAATTTGTTTAGAGCTCTAATCAATGCTAATCTACTATTGAAGTTGATAGTGCAGAAATTATTTTTGAAAAACCAACACTACGCCATTAACATTGACGAAAAGTTGCTTTAAATAGTCTAATTTCAATTAATATTCAATCAAAAAACTTCGATCGGAAGTAGAATTTTCTTTCAAAGTTTTACTCACATCGGCTGATGTTTTTTTCAATTCTACGTTCTCACAGACTCTCGCTATGTACCATTTGAGGATGAAAGATAACCTACTGTTCTAGTACAATGGCAAATGTCATTAAAATTTCTGTCATGTGTACTGATGATGTCAAATGTATGTTGTCGCGGTTATCTTCCTAGATTTTTAGCATTCGTTTGTTCTTTGTTGTGAGCTAGAACATATCAAATGGCCAAGACAAATCAATCCAATGGTAAATCTCGTTTTACTGATGTTTACGATGAACCTGTAGATCGTCTTCTGTCACCGATCAAAGGCTATCAGGAAAAAACATTAGTTTCACTTGCAGAAGCTGTTGAACCCGTTTCAAGTTTTTTTAATGAAATCGAAGATTACATGTTTGTTGCAATGCATAATTGTCAAAGTCCAGCTGAAGGATTAACGCAAGATGAATCAGCTTCAATTCATCTTTATACAATGCAATTTTATGGTGGACCAAGTTTATATCTATTACTTAATGAATCATTACGTGCTGAAAATCGTGGAAAATTAATACCATGGTTCTCATTTCTCAAGTTATTTCTTACTGCTCTGCACAAATTACCCTCCTACAGTGGAATAGTCTGGCGTGGTATTCGTGGTGTTGATTTAAGTTCAAAATATAAAGCTGGTACAAAATTTGCTTGGTGGGGAGTAAGTTCATGTACAACTCATATTGAAGTACTGGAGTCAGAACAATTTTTGGGTAAACATGGACAACGTACACTCTTTTCAATTGAATGCATCAATGGAAAATCGATTGTAAAACATTCTTATTTCAAAAATACCGAAAAAGAAATTATTCTCATGCCTGGTTCTTATTTCGAAGTGATGGGCCAACTAAATCCTACGCCAGAACTGCATATCATTCAGTTAAAAGAAATCACACCGCCCATTGCACTTGTGAAATCACCATTTTCTAAATCTACCGAAAACGCTTCAAATAAAATGTCATCGATAACAGAAGGTCTGAAAGGTTTTATATTTCTTATTATCATTTTTTTCTAATAGTTTATCCTTCTATCAAGTGAGGATGTGGATATTGGATAAAGAAAACCCACAGAATAGAAATATAGCAAAACATGATGTAAATTGCATCATTTTAATGAATACTTCTGCAGAGAAAAATCATGTCGAAAATGAAAAGATGCTATATTCGATCATGAAATGGACATTTCCTATCATGTGTTGCAAATTCATGCATGATTTTTGAAACTCTCATTACATGAAAATGGCTAAATTGATATAATGCCACGGAAATCATTAAAATCGCATAAATATATCCAGAAAATAATTAAAATTGAACCGAAGTTATAGTACAGCATAGTCTGCATTTTAGACTATGCTGAAGGTGGCAGTTTGAGCCTTTCACATAGCTCAGACTTAGTGATCTTCGAGGGGCTGCATGATAAATTTGCAAAGTCCTTTCTACCCAAGGCCTATATAAACTGGTAGTTGTGTAGAGTACAATAGATTAAGCAAAATTGCGTTTTTCCCAAGAAGATGAACGAAAGCACAGTATATGTAGACCATCAAAATTAATCATTTCCATACTGTATTTCACGTTAATGTCATGTATGAAAACCATTCTTTGTGGATAAATCAGTAATGAAAACTATGTGATGATTTTGATTGATTCAGAATAATCCATGTAGTGAGACAACAATCATGAAAAAGAATTAAACGAATACAGTGATTTTTATTTTTCGGAAATAGACAAATTACTAAGATGTAAATGATACGAAAATAAGGAAATTATTGTAACGATTTCGGTTTTAATGAAGTACCCGAAGCTATAGAATTGTTTCGATGAAAAGTTTCAAAATAGTCATTTAAATGAACTTTTTGGTGTTTTATTCCCTGAGTAACATTCACATCTTACTCCATTTAAAATACATTTTATACTTAAAGGAGATAGTTCATCAATATTAACGTCGCGAACTGATGATTCAGTGGTATTACCTGTCATTAATTCATCACGAACCTATATATTTACTACAAGTCCCGTACATCAATCAAAAAGTAATGGAAACTTTTATCTTTCAACAGTATCACGGCATTCGACAAATTCATGATTTTGTATTGATATAACAGCTGATAAATCTTTTTAAGAAAGTGTTCCTTTGTTTGTTTTTGTATTCTCTGTTCTCTTTCTAACTTTAACTATCTTTTTCGATGATGATAGCGATTCACTTTTTTTACTCTAGAACTGAAAACGAACACCGCTTTCTCTTTATTTATTTTTCGTTCTATCCCATTAGCCTGAGATGATCAAGAAACAGTAGATTCTTCTTTTTTTTGTTTGTTTTTTCTTTGTTAAATTAATTTTCTTATATGCTTAGCGAACAGAAATCATATATTTCTCTTTTCTTTGTTTGTCTTGTTCTATTGTATCAAGCATATATGAATAATAAACAAATATTGCTTCACAATTGTATTTAAAAAAAGTATTCTATTTATGAGCTACGACAAAGTATTAGGCCATTGAAATCTTTCTGCTATACATACAACAATTTCGCTAGAGGGTGTCCTTGTAAGGTATGGATGTAGGTCGAATATTCATTTACATCCATCCATACCCACTCACCCGTCCTTAGCTCCTTCAATCACGAGACAATCATTATGCTCCTCCAAGCACAATCAAAATCTCGAACTCATTTCATATTCGGGTGTAGAGGATGTGGCTGTGACTGTAGGGTGTGGGTGTGGATCAGGGTTGTCAAGTCTCTTAATTTAGTCAGGAGAATACTGGTTTTATACTTTTCTCATGGTTTCTCATGGTTTCTTGATTTCTTTCTCAAGTTGAATTTTAGCGACAGTGTGAATCAAAAATACAAGAAAGAAGAAGAAAAAAGAAAAAAAGAGCTATTACATAATTAGCTCAATGCAGCAATCAATAAGAAAATGCACAATTTTCGTCGATATGTCTAAATCTAAAACTAAGATTATCGCTTTTATAAAGAAATTTTATGTGAAAAGCTTGCATAAGGTAGATAAAAAAAGAACTTCTTACGAGAGAACATATTTGAGTGACCCCCTGAAAAAAAGTTCAAAAGTATTCTACGTGTTAGGGACCATAATGTACTTAGGTCTGACCAAAAGTTCCCAGATTATTAAAAAAAAATATAAAGACAAAGAGAAAGTTCGAGTTTTATTTTATTAAATGTTCAAAATAGTCACCATGATTATTTATACAAAGTTCCATCCTTTCTAATAATTTGTCAAAAGTTTTTTAAATTCTTCTTTCGGAATTTTTTTCATCATCTTGGATACCGTACGAGCCAATGATTATTCATCTGATTGATCAGTTAAATTACGTTTGATGTAATCATTTAGCCAATAAT